AGTCAGCAAGTCTGACCACCCGATCCCGTTAGTTGCCTCTTACGACAAGCATGGGTTATTGAAGACGGATTCTAACCCGGACCTTCACGGGTCCGGAAGCATTAAAACAATCAAATCATTATTTGCAGCATGTAGCATGGGTACTGGGGACAATTATCCCACAAGTAGATGTATGTTAATTCTTCTGCTTATTTTTTCTTTTCACCGGTTTTGTATTAATTACAGATTTTATTACAAATATTAAAAACTATGAAGTGAGTGAGTGAGTGAGCAATATTCCAACAACCTCCACATCTACCGTGGACTTGTACTGATTAAACGTGATGGATAATGAATGTTAGCATCGTTTATCGTATAAAGCCGTGGATGGAATAACATAGAAAAGTACCTTTTCTAAATAGCACAGGAAAATGACGATTAAGATTCCATAAATGGTGACCACTGCAACAGCGATGGCAACGCCGACATCAATTCCTGTGGTTTCGCCTTCAAAGGAAATCACAAAAGGTAGGAAGAAAGTCAGCATGAGCCATTCAAACGGCTTCAGTCTCAAACTTTAGCCTTTCATTCGTTTATAGAAATCATATTTTCGCCAAGTTCTCGAATATACACCTGAACAATAGAATGGATGTTTTTCCTACGGATTATGGAAAGTTTCTTTCAATTAAAATGTTTTTTACCATTAAAACAAGAGATAGAGAATGACGTTATCGAATAAAAGTCATCAGTTCCCGTATTAACTGTTTACGAGACCTGTAGATTAGAAAATGTTCCATGTTCACTTTGGCTGCCCTGAAAACAGCAAGCTGAATGGTCCGACGAAAGTTCTCACTGCTTCAGGGAACAACACGTTATGTTTTAGTGTTATTTTGTTCTAGCTGAATGTGAATGTTTTCCTGGCATGTATAGTTCTTACTTTGTAACATTTATGTAAGAGCCTACTAGCCCCTAAACTTCCTACTCTACTCGACTGGTTAATTCAACTTACCTTCAATACAGTCATACGTAACCACAGAGAAAATTAGGCTTGGGGTTCGTGGAGCAGGAAACTCACAGTACGCCTTATTCGAACAAAGACTTTTGATTTTCTCACTCTCTGTGGTGTTGAAAACATGACGATTTAGATCTCCGCGTGCCAGTTTGCAGCAGTTTGGTAGATTGTTAGAGGTGCAGTTGAGCGGTAAGTCCAAACACTTTAATGTATCACTTTTAGCAACATAAAATGTTCCATTGATTCTAATTTTATAACCACCAGCACACCTGAGTCGATGACGGGAGCATACTTGGGTCGACTGGTGTATAAAGCAGGATTCGCTTCTTTTCGAGGCTGAAATATAACATGGAGTTGAGGTTGAGTTTGGATTTAAGTCGATATCGGCAATGTTCAAGAGAATGTCATGGCGCTGGAACCAGACATAGACTTTACACGAGCCAACCCATCTGCCCTGTCGACACTACTGGATACCCCGCCTTACAATAATATTATTACCACAACTGGTTACCCTGGTTACCTACTACAACAACTGGTTACACCTCTTACCCTACTACCACAGCTGGTTACCTCACTAACCCTATTACCAGTACTGGTTACCCCACCTACCCTACTACCACAGCTGGTTACCCCACTAACCCTACCACCACAATTGGTTACCCCACCTACCCTACTACCACAGCTGGTGACCCGACTAACCCTATTATCACTGCTGGTTACCCCACTTACCTATTACCAATGCTGGACCCCACTTACCCTATTACCACTGCTGGTGACCCTACTTACCCTATTATCCATGTTGATGACCCTACTTACCCCCCACTAACCCTACTTACCACAATTGGATTACCCCCCCTATTATCACTGCCTGACTTACACATTACACTTGGTGTCCCCACTAACCCTACCACCACAATTGGTTACCCCACTTACCCTACCACCACAATTGGACACCACTTACCCTACCACCACAACTGGTTACCCCACTTACCCTACCACCACAATTGACTACCCCACTAACCCTTACCAAACTTACCCTATTACCACAACTGGTTACCCAATTACCCTATTGTCAAAACTGGTTAACCCACTTACCCTACTACAACTGTTTAACCCACTAATTTACTACCGAAAATGATTACCCTACTACCACAATCGGTTACCCCACTTACCCTCCTATCACAATCGGTTACCCCACTTACCCTATTACCACTGCTCGATACCCCGCTTACCATATCACAATTACAGGTTAAACTGTTTACCCTATCACCACTATGGGTTACCCTTCAATCCTATCATCACAGGTTACCATACTTAATCTGTCACCACTATAGCTTACCCTGCATACCCTGGCACCATACTGGTTAACCCGCTTACCCTATCACACCACAGGTCACCCTGCCTGCGCCATTCACCACCACAGCTTAACTCGTCTACCCAGGTTACATCAGGGGTTCTAAATACTACCATTCGCTTTTAAAACTTAGAGATGTCGATACAAATAATTGGCTTTTAAAACTCTGGGACGACAGGGGGCAAGTTAATGGGAATAGGTTAAGGACGTACCGTCTCTATAAAACTGCTTTTTGTACTTCAGACTATGTGAAATCACTTAATGACAGAGTAGCCCGTAGCTATTTTGCAAAATTTAGAAGTGGCACACTCCCCTTAGAAATCGAGACTGGTCGTTTCACAAAACCTAAAATCCCCCTTGAGAATCGTCTATGCAAGTTTTGTAATTCTAACTTTATTGAAGACCATGTTAATTTTCTGACAACATGCAGTTTATACTCAGCCGTAAGAAGCCCCCATCTGTCTGCGAAGGATCAACTCGTATTTTTTAATGAAACACCAAAACCTTAACCACTCCGTCGCCACTTTAATTAAAAATATGTTTAGATTTAGACTCACTCAAAATGTGACCTAAAACGTGTTCCTTCTTTTTTTCTTTTTTAAAATTTTAATACTGTTTGTATTTTAATGAAAGCACAGCCGCTTACTTTTATTATTACCTTTTAGCACCATATGGTGCTTTTATGTGTACATTTTAAGACAATTAGTGTCAAATAGGCCCAAGTTGGCCGGGCGATATTTTACATGGTATTTTATATTGTGTCTAATGCTTTTATCGCTTGACACTTAAATAAATTATTTTTCTTCTTCTTCTTCTTCTTACCCACACGCTCTGTAAACCACCATCGGCACCTCTCCCTAACCTGTACACCACCAAAGGCTACCCCACCCGTTCATTACACTGCCAAAGACTTCCCCGTCCACCCCACACACAACAAAGTACAATCCCACATTTTGCCCTAAACACAACTGCAGGCTGTCCCGCTGTCCGTCAACCACATGTGCACTATTGGTATCTCGGTATCTTAACAGTTATTACAGTAAAAAATTGGTCCATTCGTCATCACATGCACGACAATACTTTTAAGACTGACTGCGAATTCAACGTACCTTTTATGGGAACCATGACAACCAAAATGATGTGGATGATGCAGGTAAGAAGTTCATGTCTGTCCATGGTAACGTGTAGTCAGTCTAGAGAAGGTTATGAGACGTGAGGCACAACTCACGCCCCCATTATATAACACCAACACACACAACAGACGGTTCGTCCTTCCCGGGTTCATTGTTCTATTATCTTACACATCATGTATGATTCACATGATGACAAGATGACAAGCGTGTTGTTACACTAGCTACATGCAGGTCTTGCAGTCAGTCGATATTCAGTTCCGTGTCTGAGTAAGCATTGAGTTGCAGTGTATGTGTGCGTGTATCACATTCCCTCTCTCTCTCTCTCTCTCTCTCTCTCTCTCTCTCTCTCTCTCTCTCTCTCTCACACACACACTCTCTCTAGCTCTGTCAATTTATCTCTCACGCTTTCTCTCACACTCTCTCTCGCTCGCTCGCTCCGATATTCAGTTCCGTGGCTGAGTAAGCACTGAGTTGCAGTGTAAGTGTGCGTGTATCACATCCTCTCTCTCTCGCTCTCTCTCTCTCTCTCTCTCTCTCTCTCTCACACACACACTCTCTCTCTCACACACAGTCACTCTCCCTCACTCACTCAATTTCTCTCTCACTCACTCTCTATCTCTCTCTCGCTCACTGCCTCGCTCTCTCTCTCTCACTCTCTCTGTGTGTCTCTCTCTCTCTCACTCTATCTCACACACTTTCTTTCTCTCTCTCAATCTCCCTGATATCAATCACTCTATATCAGATGGGGTATATTAAACACTAGATATGCACTACAGTATCGACCGATGTACGGTGTTTAACATCTTTTGTACATCAGCTATGTGGCTACCAGGGTGTATACATTCGTGTATACAAATTCCTCTCAGTTCCTCTAAATCAACTGGTGAATCACTACGAACGTTGTCGTGCGTCATAACGGTATGTCACCCTCTTGGGTAAATACACTGACAAAAGAATGTCGTTTCTTAATATATTAATATGTACGCGTTATAGTCAGATTTGAACTGTAATTCAAATACCCTTTAAAGTGGAAGTCAACAAGCTGTTTGGATTTACGGCAAGTTGGTGATTAAAAAGCTTATAGCGACATGCATAAAAATGTGTGGATGTGTGTGAGCCTGTGTGAGTTTGTGAGTGTGTTGTGGTGCATGTTTGAGCATGCGTGTGTTCGTGAAGTGTGAATATATATATGTGTGTGTGAGTGAGTGTCTGAGTGAGTATATCAGTGTGTGTTAGCATGAGTGTGAGTGTGTGCTAGTGAGTGTGTTCGTGTTTAAGTGTGTAGATGCTTTATAACTGCAATACCAGAAATCAGTTAGTTCTCTAAAAACAAATGTGGTATGACGACAAAAAGTTTGACATTCAAGATTATTTAACTCATATTTTGTCATGCCTTCTGTTAACAATCGAACCACCGGCAATTACTTGTCCGGGCGGACTATATATATGAAGCTATCCACTAGCTAGAGGTGGAAGGAAATTTAGAAGAATGGTGAGGATGTTGAACTCCTTTGTTAAACATACCCTTACAAGCATGAAGATCGTGTTACACAGTATCAAAACCGGGGAAAATCTTCAATATCACCCCCACTGACTATTAGATCCTGGCATGAATAAGGCACGTAACTCCTGCGCCTCAGAACACTTGACGAGGATTTTAACGGACACAATTCACAGAGAAACACAACATACCGACAGCATTGCAGGGATCTTCACTATAGAGTAAACCTTGACTCTAGAGGCTGTCTTGAGGTCTGTTCCACAAACCACATCTCAGTATGCGACTGTGATGTTTTGCGATAAGGTGTAAGTCCATGTTGAATTACGTATGTACGACTATCTGTAAGAGGCATATAATCCCATGTCTGATTATCCTTGACATAATGTCATCATTGCAATAGCTTACATTTGATTGGTTCTTTGTTTACCTCCACACTCACTGGGTCAGAAAACCGAGTGATCAACAGCATGAGCATCGATCTACGTAACTGTGATACATGTGTCAAAGCAAGTCATAGAGCCTGACCTCCCGATCCAGTTAGTCGACTCTTGCGACAAGCATTGGTTGCTGAAGACCAATTCTAACACGATTCATCAGGGGTATCAGTTGTGCATACACATATGTGATTGTTTGTATACCACTATACTATTATGCAGTTTTCATAACTTCAAATTCAGGTTTGGTTCCAGCTGTCTATCTATCTATAACGCTATATCCGAATAAACTATTTTGCAGATCCTGTGTTGTCTCTATGCAACATACGTGATACAACTTTTATGTCGTTCAGTATTTTCAGTATTTCCTTCTACGGGATTCACATGCTTTGTGGGGTCCATTTCACACATTATTACTGACTCATTAAAAGAACAGGAAAATTTAACGCCAGTGTGGCGTTTAGATGTTCAGCATTTTGACATGCAAAAACATCCTCACATTTTGATATTGTAGCAATGAAGAATAGCAACATAAAAACGTATACCTTTGAGCGAGGTTACATTACGCATATTAACTGATAATAAAGTACCAGATTCTGCATTTATATATTTATCATAATTATGTGAATGGTTTTCGTTATTTCTCGCGATCTGGATGATCAAGTGTTTAGATCATACCCATAATGATATACTGAGGAAAAAATAAGGGATGACATGAAAGCACAAGTGTTCCTCTATTTTTTCCCATGTTTCTTCACAAGCTATGTATCGCACAACGTGTGAAGAAATCTGGAACAAAATAAAGGAACACTTGTGCTTTCATGTGATCCCTTACATGTTGCCCTCAGTATAGATGGAAAAGTATGTTTACTGTTCTTCCGTTTTATCGACAGCTGGGATGTTAAGGACATGTATACCAGACAGCCAAGCCTCCAGAAAGGAGATATTTGATCATGATCAACAAATAATAAGATCAACGTCTGACCATATGTCTTATGTTCAACAACGCCCTTTTCTATGTGTGTGTGTGAGATCCTACATCCTACGGGAAACGGTGTTACAAGAAGATACCAACAGATAATAAGGAAACATAATTATAAATATCCTCATGAGTCATCGTTTTGCATTCGCGGGGCATTGTGTTCTTAGAATATCCTCTTAACAGGGACTGCAGAGATATTGTGCAGTGTGTCACCGGTAGAATATCTTCCCAAAGTGGTTTGACATTTTAGTTCTGTCACAGTTTAGAGAGTGAACGAGTTAAAATTAAGAAGCCAAGAATAAAATGAGCGTTGACTAGTGGAATGATAATAAAGATCCCTTGTGAGAGAGAAATCGACACAATCTAGCAAAACCACAGTTTAGAGAAGTATACTGCTATTGAACACAATCTACACAACAAATCTTAAAGGGTTATCGGAAGGGAATGCGCAAACTAATGTACACTCAAACTTGTTATTGCAATGGAATCTTAGTCACAACCTTCATTTTAGCCCGAAACACTAGGCTACACATGCGTTGACCTTTATGTGTTTTGTCTTTAAATTGCAAGATATTTACAAAGTCATATCATCAGAAATATGCAGAAATATGCTAGATTTCTGTCGTTATTTTATTAAAGACATACATAAATAAATACACAACTAAATGTATTGTACATATAATTTGCATTGCAACGAGTGTCTATTGCAGATGGGTTATAAACAAAATGAAAAAAATAATAGTTGCAACTTTCAGCTTTTTTCAATTGATCGCAATCTTAAGACAGAATTTGCGATCTATTTCGACATACTTCAAACTTAAGCAATATGCTCTATGCCAACTTGCATGGCATCGCAACTGACTTATCACAACGTTACGCCATACTTGCGGCATTACTTAGCAACAAATGGCTTTATGCAACGGAGCCCTTAATAGTAGACTATGATGCGCTGAGAACCAAACCAATGAATTCTGGTGCAGTTGTATTAAATTACAAGAGTCAATAAAACATTATGACCAAAACGCATGTTTGTAAATCGCGACCTTTATTCCAGCAGTAAGACAATCATCCATTTTGTTTTACTCAGCTACATTTTGTTACCCTGAAACATAAAGTGAAAAGACAAGCTTAAAGGTTTTCTGTCTTAACGTAATATTAAACATTACATTCTGTATAAAAGGTACGGTAGGAGTGATTAAAGCGTTCGCTCATCACTCCAAAGAGACCCGGGTTCCATTCCCCATATGGGTACAATGTGTGATGCTTTGATATTGCTGAAATATTGCTAAAAGCGACGTAAAACCCAAACTCACTCAATCGTTATATAGTTTCAAAGTATAAAGGATAACCAGATCACATGCATACATGAATTTGCTAGGCACACGTATCTACGCGTTATCATATGCCCATAGCTAAGTGTAGGACCTCTTCGTACTTTCCACGGTAACCAATAGGTCGATCTCTGGCAGTGGATGACATGTCTATTCAAACCCATTTGTCTACCGCCAGCTATGGACGACATGACTACTGCTGGCTATGGATGGTGTGTCTTATAAACCCCGTCCGTCCATTGCAGGCTATGGATATCTGCCCTTTCCTTCATTGAATCTGACTTAAATGCTAATCCTTTGACTCTGGAAATGTCTGAATCACCAACACACATTCCCAGAACATGACCACTTCCTATTTGAACATCGCGCCGTGTCCGCGCACAACAATACCTTTACTTCGGGCAATGGATGACTTGTCTAGAGAGTACTATGTGCATATCGTTGGATCTATTGATGCAGTTCCCGGTAGTCACGATATGGCTGAAATATTGCCGATGTCGGGGTTAAGGACTCTCAAAGCAGTGATCGGCTCACTCATACCCCTCTAATTTCCAGCTACTCACTTTGTCATACAACCCGAATTTCCAACAACGTACACTTTCTCACACAATGGCTCGAGGTTGGGGCTGTTACAGCAGTAATCTCCCCTCTGACACCCCTCTGAATTCAGTTATTTATGAATTCGTACTACCTAAATTCAACAACTTACCTTATTTCACACCAAGGCTCCAGTTTAGGGATGTTACAGTAGTCATCTGCCTACTGTTACCCGTTTGATTTCAGGCTACCAATTCAGTCTTCATATCTAAATCCCAAACAACTTACTCTGTCTCACACAATGGCTCGAGGTCAGGGTGGTTACAGTAGTGATCTGCCCACTGATACCCCTCCGATTTCCAACTACTCATGCAGTCCTCCTCGTCAGTCTTCTGGTTTGGCTCTCCAGGGTACCAATCCGTGTAGTTCAGTGGGTTCTCCGACTTGTCCCACACATAGTAGCCTTCAAACCGAATGTCGTTAGCTCCTAACCAGACACCATTGCTAACTGAAACAGACGTTGTGAATCAGCAAATAATTTCAAAGTTAAAAACAAGTGTGTGATTTCTATGACATGTACTACTTTGTATTCGATAAACGATGAAACAATTAGGAATATTTATTCACATTCTAAATGCAGTTAGTAATCAGTAGTTTCAAAGATATCTCTTACTTTATCTGTCACTCAAACGGGGCATCAGCAACATTAATGGAATGATGTTATTGATCTCATCACTATTAGGATCAGAAAATCTTCCAACCTTTAGTCTATGGAAACAATACATTATAAGTACGACATGCGTGTCGCCCTGCCGAATAGAATCTTTTTCAGAGAATGTGTATCAACCATTCAGGCAAGGGTGAAATAATGGGGTTTCTTATATATTTTACATATACATTTCACATTCTACCAAGGTATGAAGTCCAAATCCGGCGTTTGCTTTCGCGAACGATTGCTTGTTGACAGAAATATCCTAGGTGTGAAACTATGACCTGTGAATAATTGTTTGAGACAAACCAGTGATTGATATTGTGACCACAGATCCACTACACAAGCAGTCATCAAACCATCAACCCTGACCACCCGATTCTTTATGAAAGTTTGGGTTGTTAGGATACACGTTTTAACACGGACCCCTCACAGGGTCACATGTTTTAACTTTATTTACAGGTGGTAAATTTCACTTACTAATCTTTTCCTTCAGGAATGCCTTCACAAATACACCTTCCTCTGCTGTTTCAATCTCGGTCAAATGTCCTTGGTGCTGTCGGCAATATACCTAGAAATTAAGACTACTATGAGCGAGTGAGTGAGTTTCGTTTTACTCTGCACTCAGTAATATTCCAGCTGTATAGCTGCGGTCTGTAAAATATCGAGTCTGGACCAGACAATCCAGTGATCAACAGCATGCGATCGATCTTCGCAACTGGGATACGATGACATGTGTCAACCAAGTCAGAGAGCCTATCCAACCGATCGCGTCAGCATGCTCTTACGACAAGCATGCATATGGGTATAACCCATTAGCCCACAGGAGAATTATAATTTAAAGCATTTGCTTTGACAGTAATCCGAACATATTAAGAAGCTGCCTCGTAACTTAAATCTGTCACCTTATCATATGATCGTTCTAAAATACATCTGAACCTCGGTTACTCATTGCAACCTCATCCATGCGTTGTGAACTGTTTCTGAGTCAGTTTAGATAGAGCAGGGTGGATTAAGGCCCCTTAGGGATAATCATACATGATGGCGTAAGCATCCGCATTAATATTGTTTTGTTGTTGGTTTTTTACTTCGAGACAATGGGTAGTGCAATATCGAATGGGCAAATTACAGTTCTAAAAAAATCCCAATAGTTGCCTTCGATTAAATTAAGTGTAGTGATGGAATTATTTGCCACACATAATAAAAATGGAATGGTAACGTGACGTGAAGCAATTGTGAACTTGCCGATGCTTTAATGAAGGTCATCTTCTGATGGTGGTGAAAGTAGCAGGATTCCTCAAACTGGGTATAGCCATTGGGACAACCAGCACCTGCAACGGTACGAACAATCAATCGAAGGATCTATCAGTCAAGCATGCAATGGATCAATGAATGGATGAATCAATCAATCAGACAACATGGTGATGACTGGCATATACACGGAGGACAATTTGCAATGTTAGTGACAATAATTATCATTTTGAAATGTTGCTTAAAACATGACATAATTTTTTGTATGCAAGATAAATAGTTTTAATGTCGACTGTATGTATGCATGTATGCAGTGAGAGAGTGAGTGAGTTAAAATTTAAAGTCACATAGGCAATATTTCAGCAAAATCGTGACTAAAACTAGTTCTAAATATATAATACATACAGATAATATATAAAACCCTGTCAACGAAGGACAGTAAAAACACTAGATTATCACAAAAATGAATTAAAACTAGCTAGTATGTAGAAAATTAGTTTTGACAATGTAAAAATGGGCCAGTAATCGCCAACAACTGAAGGTAGATCACCATACTAGGGACCATGGGGACTTACAGTATGTATATATGTATGTATGTATGTATGTATGTATGTATGTATGTATGTATGTATGTATGTATGTATGTGTGTGTGTGTGTGTGTGTGTGTGTGTGTGTGTGTGTGTGTGTGTGTGTGTGTGTGTGTGTGTGTGTGTGTGTGTGTGTGTGTGTGTATGTATGTATGTATTGCAACGCATATATCTAGAATCGGATATTCACTTATGTTAAGGATGGTCACCTATGCATAAATATAAGGAAATGATTTAAACTCATTGTAGTAAAATACTAATGGCTTTCCATCAAGGATGTTTGCCGGAGTGGAAAAAAAGGTAAGATTTTAGAGAAGGATGCAGGATTGCTCTTTCCTTGGCGATTAACAGACTTTTGTGTTACCTGACACTGCTGGTGCTAGTAGGAGCAATGTTCCAAACAATACCGTGACCATCCTTCCACGGTGGGGTGACATTGATTAAGAAGGACGAAATAAAACACTTTAACACTCTATCTCACCTGAGAGAAGTAAGGCATCTTATCAGCAAACGGACTACTGACCCAAGGTTTGCAAGCAAAGAACATTGTACCAAACAATTGATGTCTCAGGCACCGTTAGGTCTATATATCACCATATCGATGTTGTGCATTGTATTAATGTCTCTACACAATGCATCAGAATATCGGACCGTGTATAGTGAAGGTAACCGTTATAATTCACTACCAATATTGTAGTGATACTTTAACAGTGTGTTGATCTATAATTAGATGTTAAGGGTCTCGTTGTAGTATCCGGTGATATTAGAAACAGGATCTATATTGATACGAGAAGGAAACACTGTCCGTTCTGGCTAATGACTACATTGCCTTATATAGGAGCCGATTGCAATAACCTACTTGTCTCGACTTTGTGACTCCGCTGACCGACCAGATCTGAATCATTTCTAGGTCACTGTAGCAGCTGTGTAAGACTCACTCCTATACATCATGCACATGAAAAACAAACACCCCCGTCTATTCTCCAGCGATTTAAGATTGTATGTGACATTTAAGCATATTCCAGTCATATTAGAGCAAATTGTACCCATCTGGATTATCGAGGGTATTCTTTGACCAGATACCTGCACGAAATTCTTGTGAAACTGACCTAATTATGCTGGCGTGATTTGTTTGTTTCACATATAAACTGAAAGTCTCTGTCAAGGAATACATGTTGTTAACAGTTGGTCTCCCGACACACATCGAAATATTGTACATGCTTTATTTGCAATACGCCATATTAAAATGCAGCGTATGTGATAAAACCAGATGTCACACACGGATAATTACATAAGGGAAGAAACTCTGCCAACACAACCATCCTTACTGAACACAATCCACGTCCTCACAATTGACCTTAAATGATGTGGTGAAACTTCGCAAAAGAAATTGTCCTACTCTATCAGAGATCACGTGACCCAAATGAACTCTCGTCAACACTTCTACCTGGGCCGGTTTGTCATATCGCCTGAGACGTAACAGGTTGTCAGGTACCAGTCCGCTAATATGGCCGCCTTAATCAATACTTTCCTTTTGTTCGTGCTTTTTACCTTCCTTCCTGCAGCAGGTACAAGTATGATTAATTGTCATATTATTTTCACTTATCAAACAGTACAAGTATGATTAATTGTCATATTATTTTCTATTATCAAACAGTACAAATATTAATCGTCATATTATTTTCTATCATCAAAACAATATTTCTGCTTGCTTTTTGAATAGGAATACGAGTGTTTATGGATGATAAACTTCTTTATTGTACACGTGTCATTCCTATTGTTTACAAAGTCTAGAATTCCTCTCAAACAGTTGCTTTTTAAATTTTATAGATTAAAACACGTAGATTCCATAATCAATGTCTGAGCGAATATTACATGAAGGAGGCTCATTGACATCCATCACTATGTAACTTTGTTACGATATCAAAGATGACGACAGTATATCTTCTATTTGACAAGACTGTGTCTGTTCCTGCCCCGACGGATGGGTCGTGTACAAGAACTCTTGTTACAGCTTCAACACAACCTGGCAACCATATGACACCGCTAAGGTAGGCCTGTGTATTCAAGTGCAGTCAACGGTTGTAATTCTACTTCAATAGGACTCTTCAACCCTAAAGCACTACCGCTTTAATAAATATCCTTGACAAAGGCTGCTTACGCTTCGCACGACAGGTGCAAATGTTAAACGTGAGCGCAGTGTATTATTGGAGCTTCTGTAAATATTAAATGATGAATGTGAATAAATATAAATGGATTTTCCAGAACGATGCAATGTGAGTGAATCCGTCAATATGTGTCTTTCTGCATGTGTGTGTGTGTGCGCGCGCGGGTATGGTTGAAGATGGATATAACAACTTTTGCCACAGTGGTGCGCTACGCGCTGATACGAGTCGGGATTGCAGTCAAAGTGTTTAGCAACGATTGAAGAATATCGGTTAGTAATTGGAGGGTAACTTAATCTATAAAAGAATGAACGGATTCCTGGTTATATATTATGGTGAAGGACATGTTTTACAACAGGCTATCTGCAAGACCTACAACTCCTACTTGGTCAGAATAGAAGACAAGGACGAGAACAACTTCATCAGTAATTTCATACTGAATTTTAAATGTAAGTTTCGTTATTTGAATTAAGTGATCACATGAAATGCCCATAAAACAGTATACATCATAAAAGTAATGCTTAGGATATATTCTCATCGGAGTTCAATTATGAAGCATAAATGCTAAATACATTAGAGTTGATATAAAATTATATACTGGAAAACCCTGTTGCACTGTTGCAATGTATTGCTGTCCTCATTGTCATATGTTATACATGAAATATGACTAATGGTTGATCATTGACGTGGGGCGGTGGAGTAGCCAAGTGGTTAGGGCGTTTGCTCGTAACACCGAAGACCCGGATTTGATTCCCCACATGGTACAATGTGTGAAGCCCATTTCTGGTGTGACCCGCCGTTATATTGCTGGAATATTGCTAAAAGCGGCGTAGAACTAAACTCACTCACTCACTCACTCACCATTGACGTGTATTACATGGTATCAACAGCTGACTTTGTGGCGTGGTTCGGAGCAAATGACAAAATCCAGGAGGGCAACTGGATTTGGGGTGATAGCGGGGTCAAGCTGACCTACTCAAACTGGGGAAATGGACAGCCTGGCTCTGAGAGCGGCAACGAGGACTGTGGGTTACTGCAGAACTACGGCTCGACGTTCATGTGGTATGACGCCAGGTGCATTGATAACGCTGGCCACATATGTGAAAAGTCGTAAGTTGATTCCTTCTTATAAGCCATGACTATATATAGTCTATCTATCCTTTGTCCTCCGCAGTGATATTGCTGGAATATTCTTTCAGCGGCGTAAAACTTAACTCACATACTCATTTACACTACGACAGCGTGTAGGGGTTGTCTCCTTGATGATGAACAAGTCCATTGCGACTTTTTAATCAAAGTATGTTACAAATATATGGTCAATTCACCTTGGCTCACCGACGTGCACATCTTTGAAGTCCAATAACACTTCTTTGTTCCAATCATTTTGGCTATTCTATCTGTTTACATATGTAAACGATCTTGTCAGAAAATGAAAACCTGTCATGACACATTTCATGTATGCAACTTGGACTCTCACTTTGTAAAAAACCTTTAATAGCATCTGTTATTTCTGGTGGGCAAGCACTCCCATGTTAGATAGTAATGCTCTGTAAGGAGTATCTGAGAGACTGCGCAGGACCATTTACCTGCCAGCTGACGTCCCGAACGAATTTTCACCTAAATCGTTATGCCTCTTTGATAATTTCTATTGTTTCGAGAGGAGCCAAAGTGCATATACACTAAAGTAATGTCCGTTTATGAGTGAGTGAGTGAGTGAGTTTATTTTCACGCCGTTTATAAACATTTGACATTTTAAACAGTACCGACTGGGAAAAACGAGTGTTGTCCTGATGATGTTTAGCAGCAACACCTACAGAATGATAGCACCAGTTAACAACACCAAATTTACTTTTAAATGCATCAAGAATATTCTAGGATCTCCAAACCCTCCAGCAGGAAGCAATATTGTAGTCATGGAAAGATTTTTACAAACCGTGGATATATTTTAATCCTTTTGTTACAGCGCATCTGGTGACAATCTCGTTGGATAAGCCTCATTATGCTTTCCTTGTTTTGAATGTAATACAGGAACTGTATAGCTTACTGAATAAACATAAGAGAAAACAAGGAGTTTGCTGTATGCCAAACGTGCTCCTGTGTGAATATCGCTGTGTATGTGCACGTATATATGTGATTATATGTATCTATATATTCAAATGTGTGCGTGTGTGTGTGTGTGTGTGTGTGCGTACGTGAGTATGTGTGTGTCATATATCTGGTCACAAGTGTGCGCGCGTGTGTGTACATGTGCTTTACAATAACAAATGGGTTTCTTTGATTTTACTGCTTGTGTGTGTGTGTTATGTATCTGGTCACAAATGTGTGCGCGTGTGTGTACATGTGTTTGACAATTACAAAATTAAACCTCAAAAGAGGTTAGTTTAGTCTTATGCCTACAGTACGACAACATACTCAGGCGAACCCCAAATACTGAAGCTGTACAATACAATTTAGTTTTTCGGGAGTGTAAGGGCGATGGCTACACTTAGTCGAACAGGAAACACTAGCAAGGGACCAAAGTCGGTACCTAACTCAGAAAGACTCAATTATCAACAGCAGGGATGTTAATATTGATCGGACTATCGACTATCACAAGTACTGATAGACATAGTGCAGTTCGTGCGTGTGTTCGGTTTAACCAGGATATGAGTATATATTTCGCGACATGTGATGCACTTTAGGAGCGAAAGACAACACACGTAGTGCAAAAGAGCTGCAGAACATAGCTATGTGACACTTGATAAAACCGTACGTCCAAGCATGGTGCTGAAAACCTACAACTGTATCCATATGTGATTGAAATCCATATGGGATTGAAATCCACAAACGTTGGTATCTCGCACATCTAAGGGACGCAAACTCCAAGGCGCATAAGCCACGATTCGCCAAACTCAGCACGTAATAGCACAATAATTTCATTAATCATCTCTTCCCGTCAGTCATTGAACCATACCACCCCCTCTGTATTCAGTGACACGAACATATTGCCAAGTCATTCCACAACAGCGGAGACGCCAGAGATACACACTATGCGCTGTTACAACAATTGTATTGTCATTGGGCGGGTGGGTTAAACATAAGTGTACATTCAAGAACACATTTACTATCACAATTGAAAGACAGAGGAGGGCCCCGTTACTATAAATATAGATCCACAAAACTAGGTCCTTGTGCATGATGACGAACGATACCTAATATGGGATACAGGACACAAGTCATGATTTTCCAGGGATTGTATAACAGAGATTACATGATCCCGGGTTTGACAGAATGAGTAGGAGGAAGTCGTGTGACTGTATCGGGGACTCGTGACTGACATCTATAGATGCATGATTCATTGTTTTCACAGTTACAGAACTATGACTGTAATTCAAAATGATACGCTTATGGTATAGAAAACACGCGTATGCTTGCTGCAACAGGATATTTAGAATGACAATAATCAGGGTTGAATTTTTTTACGTATTTGATGGTTTTAGTTTTATCTGATTATAGCCATCGTGTACATATATCCAATGAACAATGCATTGGAAACACGTTTTAATTCATGGGAGATATCATTCTGGCTAGGACTAGGGCATACACACACACACACACAGAGAGAGAGAGAGAGAGAGAGAGAGAGAGAGAGAGAGAGAGAGAGAGAGAGAGAGAGAGAGAGAGAGAGAGAGAGAGAGAGAGAGAGAGAGAGAGAGAGAGAGAGAGAGAGAGAGAGAGAGAGAGAGAGAGAGAGAGAGAGAAAGAGAGAGAATGACACACACAAAAAAACACACGCGAACACACACACACATACATATAATATTATATATAGCTTGAGATTGAGAACGATTGAGAACGATAGGGTTGATATAGGTTGTATCATAAAGCAGAGACAAGGTTGATGGATAATGTTTGGGCAAAAACATGCAGACCCCGAGAACGGCGGGGTAAATGGATAACAATTGTCACAGCGACCGAAACAGGAAAAGGGCCATAAGCTGTTTAACACTATATTTAGTTGCATGTAAGTTATAGGTAGGAGTATTCATTTTCACCAGCGCTATGCCCTCCAAATGTTGCAGTCGAGTGAATGCTGGACTAGTGAGAGTACATCTTATCGAGTATAAGAGAGTGCACAACACAATCATGACTAGAGCACAGCAATGATCAATGGGTGTAATCAGCCGATCACAGCGTAACTTGTTCACACCTGACCTGGTTGAAGACCTTACCTATTTCTGATCCAGATACAAAGACACCGGGTGTTGTCGATGAGGCTGCCGATGTTGTTGTCGAAGTAACCGCTGTAGCCTTATGTGTATGTGGTACAGGTGATGTATGATGCGTCGACTTGTGTGTCGTGTGTTTTTGATGTATTTGTGTTGTTTGGGATTGTGTTGCGTATTTGGTTGGTTCATGTGTCTTTTGTTTATTTGTTGAATGTGTTGTATGTTTATTCGGTTCCTGCGTCGTGTGCTTAGTTGATGATAATGTTGTAGTTGGCTCGCCACGTGTCGGAATTGATGAAGAAGACACAGCGGTTGCTGTTGTTGTAGGGGCTGCGAAACGTAGAGCAGTAGAGTATTAGCAAAACGTTTAAGAAGTTAATGGGATGCATAACATGCATTTGACGGAGTGTTATATTGTAACATATACGTTTACCTTTACACAACTTCAGTCTTCATTGAGCAAAGCTGTACCAACGCACAATAGGTCACATGAATGATAACTAGCACTTCGTACTACATTTATTTCTGCAGTATAAACAGATCATGATCCAATACCGTATTTATCAGTGTAGTTATGTTTGTTTGTTTGTTTGTTTAGCGCCACTCTCAACAATGTTCCAGCTATATGGCGGCAATGTAAGAGAAATGAAGCAGACTCTTGTAGATTCATGATATAACTATTACGTGGTCATCGATACCGCCGTTACGAAATGCTATTTTGTAAGTGGATGTCAATCAATTCTGCCTTTAGGTTTTATATTTAGAAGGGGTTTTGCACTGGAGTATTTATGTTAGGATGTGTGTTAGGGGTGGGTATTGCAGAGAATTTTCATATTGCGATATATTGCGATGCGAAAGCATGTATTGCGATATGTATATCATGTATATATTGCATGAAGTGTTTTTAAGCAAAAAAACTGCTTATAATCGAGTTAATTCTAGATTTATAGAGCAAAAACACAACAAGTGTTACGAAGTTTTCCGAATGCAAGTCAAACTACCGGTTTTCGATCAGCGTACCGCAATACGTATCGTTTTCATGGCTGAACCGGTAAATACCGGTAAACCGGTTATATTGCGCAGCCCTAATGTCTATTGACTATTTGGAGAATTTAGTGTTTGTGCTATCCTTTCATTTTCCTTTGCTCCTTTCATTTGACTGTCAGTTTATCACTCAGCACTATTCGTCGAATCATATTTTGTACATCCACTGATGTTTTCTGTGCAACTAACAATTAACTACAATAGAACTAAACAACCATTTAGCGTTGCCCTATAGATGTATTGTGTATGTTGACCTGAACAAAATGTCAGAGTGAGTGAGTGGGTGAGTTGAGAGTTAAAGTCACGTAGAGACTAAATCAAGTTATAGACTAATAATAATTAAAAGTAAATAATAAACAACTGTCAAAGAAAGACAGGAAAACAACCAGACTATCACAGATATAAATTATAAACTAGTAATTAAATCTAAAACGTTTTAACTATAGAAGACGATACCATATAAAAACAGACTGTAGATCGACAACAACTGAAGGTAGATCACCATATTAGGAACCATGGGGACTTACAGTACCTTTGCGACCTGCGTGGACCCTAGCTGGATTTACACCATCCCAACAGCCGCGGGCGATTGTAGGAAAATTTACCCAAAATATAACTCACAAACATACTACGTTTGATATATCCTGGTAAGTTGAAATTTACTTTGAAAGTATTGGGACTTACGTACCGCTACACGATGTGGCTAACTACTAAATTTATCAATTAATTCTATTTCTTTTCAAAATGACAATTAACATTGCTAAAAAGATGTTGCATTGTTTTGGTACTGAAATATGTATCCTTTGTGATGGAAAAATCAATATGTCAAGCAAAATGTCAGACGAAGAAACATATGGACTAAACACTTACGTTTACAAATACCGCACGACAGCGGACAGAATTCCAGGGATATGTCAGGGTCTGAGCAAGCCGCTCCAACAGCTCTGTGACAAGGGAACAGAGACTGGTCACGGCATGAGGACGGTGGAGCAAACGTCAACGTTGCTGAAGTACCTGCGATGCTGGTGGTTGTCGGTGAAGTTGTAGGGAGTTGCTTTATGTCAAATGCATAGTCAAGACAAGTCTGGTCGTTGCAACAAAATACACACTCTTTGCGCCCTTTGTCTTGAGTGCAGTCTGATGGATACAGATTGGGTGGATGGATGCACTATAACAGAGAGAGAGAGAACATGGATGCTGAGAAAATAGACGCTACAAAACCCTTTCCACAGCAATAAGAAATCTCTGCTAAAAACAGAGTGGATTGTACAATTTTGACTACATCATGAGTGTATATTTGTTCAGCAGTATTACAGCTGTTCGATGTTGTTTGTAAACCAATCGAGTCTGGTCTAGACAATCAAGTGATTGTCACCATGCGATATGACACATCATGGGTTTATGAATCACTATGAAATAGTGATGACACCAGGTGATAGCAAAAAGGTGAGCGTATCGTGCCACGTAGGTGGCACCCGTCATAAACATATGCTGAGTCTACTCAGTCGTTGGCCTGAAATAATTTGCTGTAAGTCAAAAGAGGGAATTGCATCGGACATCATTCTTGTTACTGATGCATCAAATTTGGAAATTTCCTCCATATGTCTGTCATAAAAAATGTAACCTTGATCAAACAACTTCCCAGCAAGAGTGGTATGACGCTCTTTGAAATCTTGATGAAAAGAGCACATTATAACCCAACTAAACTGAATAATCCATTGGAGTGCATACCCAATTACCCTTTATAACTACACCTATCTGAACATACATCATCAACAATCCATAGGCACCCATACTGGAAAAACAACAACCAAGAACACTTTTCCTGTACACAAAATACTTACCGACGAGTTGTGGGAACATGTAGCTGACCATTTCCCATCAGCGTTCTTAATTTCACATGTCTGAAAGGAAAGTATTATATTTGTATATCACTAAAGCATAAAACAAACAAATTCGTTTCTTTTTAAATTACTGTAAAATTTTACTACCACACCTCATCAGACAATTAAGGAAGTATCGATAAATGTACGTGAGAAGATTCTTTATAAAAATGTACTCACTTTGTGGTGAGATTCACAGGGTATGATATTGTCCAAGCATCTTTGAGGGTCGTGTTCGTTATCACAAACTGGGCAATGGATCACACCAGGCACCGTATCTAACCCTGAAAAAATGTGCAAATTGGATGAGGATGACAATACATGTATGTAAATGGCGACAACGGCATGTCAGGATGAAAGACTAGTTTTGGTGTTTTCACAAGAGAAATCTGTACATATACACTTATCCATTTGCAAGGTATAGTCCCAGTGACCCCAAATAGCTTGGGGATGTTCTTGCAAATATTATCAAATTTAAGTTTCAACCGAACACATTAAAATATTGAGACATAAGAACAACCATGAACATCTGCTATCGATGCCCCATATCACATTGATCAGAAATCAAGTATGTTAATTATATGTAATATAGAATCTCACTTAGGAGTATATCCGTCACTTAAAATTACCATAAACATATGAATAGTCCTTGACATTTTGGGGGGGCGGTGGGGTAGTCTGTAGGTTAAGGCGTTCGCTCGTCATGCCAAACACCAAGATAAGATTCACCACATGAGTACAATGTGTGAAGCCCATGGCTGTTGTACCCTGTCGTGATATTGCTGGAATATTGCTAAAAGCGGTATAAAAGTAAATTCACTCATCCACTCCTTGACTACTCACATGCTGGACCATGAAATCTTCTTACCGTGTTGTATGTGTGTCATCCTGGACTGGCAGATGTCTCCAGTACAGCACACCGTGCACCTGTCCATGGGTCCAAATGGGTGTGTCCCTCTACAGTCAGTCGTGTCTTGCAGGTCATCATAATCGCATCTCTACAGTCGGTGGCAGGACATATTTTCACATAAGGGGATTATATATTCTACAAAGACCGTGGTATAAGTTTTACATAAATGAATGCACATTTACGATGTGACACATTTCACAAAAGTTACTTGTACCCACTTTGGACTTTATATTATGCATCAGACTTTGTTATTGTTGATGAAGAACAGAAAACAAGGTGTGTTTTTTTTGCATGTTATGTTTTTTCGTATCCTCGTAATAAACGTACAAAATTATTATCATCCGATGACAAAGTCTTCAAAGATCGTTACATTAAACATTTGTACGATATCCACCGGAGACCACAAAAAGACCAGATACTATTAGGATGTAACAACGTTTCAACCCTTGGTCTCATACATAGAAAAGGGACTGTGCTAAATACTTTCATTAATGTGCCTGTTTACCTTTATGGTGCCACAGCCCATGGTCACGTGCCATTCATTCAAAACCCCGATACACACCTTGGAAAAGATACATGCATTGTGATAGATGTGAAGGTGATATAACACATTGATCAACTCGCGGGCTGGTAGAACTCATAATTATGGTATGAACATGAATTATATATTGGGGACACACAGACACTAAGACTCTCTCTCTCTCTCTTACACACACACACACACACACACACACACACACAGAGAGTGAGAAAGAGAGAGAGATTAAAGATGTGATGTACATTGCTCAACTTTCATGTCCATTGATAATCCAATCATGTTGTAAGGAAACCAATAAGTCTGTGGTTTTACTTTACAAAATGCAATGAATTCCGACTACAGACTTCTTGGTAGATGCTGCAGTTCTCCGTTCGTATCCGACACTGGTTTACATTCTGCACCCGGTGGCAACTCGGACATTGCAGAGCCAACACAGCGACTGTCAACATTATGTAATGAACAACAAAATTAACATGTGATATAAAAACATTGAATTTTAACGTTTAGCATGCTTTATCAAAAGGAGATGCAAAAGAAGCGACAAAACCCTTTCCACGTCCATAAGAAATCGATAGTACAATTGTGACTTTATCACGAGTATATGTTTGTTTCAGTAGTGTTAGTACAGCTGCACGATGTTGTTTGTAAACACATCGAGTCTGGACCAGACAATCCAGTGATGCAAAGCATGAATGAAAGCCCATTTACTTCCGAGGAATATGTTTTTAGGGTAATATTTGATTTTAAGTGCATGTCATGACGCAGAATTATGTTTTCTGGGAAGTAAACAAAGCCTGTTTGCTTCAGATAAACCGATGGTCTTAACTGATACGGAGTTAGGAGAAAACTGCCACCAACCAGTGGTATCTTGCTACTTGCGCCTGGACCACACTATTTAACATCATTCCCCAGTATTTGTCCTGACCACTCATATCATGCATGCTGGTATTCGAAACGTATTCTATTTTTGTCTGGAACATACAGTACCACAAAAAACATTCTGGAGTTCGTGAAAAGAGGCACATAAACTAGGATTTCAATATACTACAATAATATGTCACTTAACTAAATGGCACATGGTATTACTGGAAAGTGATCTGCTGTACATTACATTTAGTGTTTAACAGACAATGTCTTACCAGAATTCAATATTCTACAACAACATGCCATTCTAATGATATATACTACAATAATATGTCACTTAACTAGATGGCACATACTATAACTAGGAAGTGATCTTGGGTGTATTACGTATGGTGCTTTACAGACTATGTCTTACTGGAACTCGATATTCTACTTAGAAAATGTCAATCTAATGAATGGCACATAGTATTACCGGGAAGTGATCTAGTGTACATTACATTTAGTGTTTAACAGAAAATATCCTACCAGAGCTTGAGCACACGACCACGGCAAAGTAAACCAGAAGAATATCAGAGTGATCCATTGCCTTCGATTTGTTCCACTGACCTACAGACAGTTATATCACACAATCTACTTATGTATCTACCTCATGTGGGAAGAGGTGATCAGAAAACACGTGTTGACCTTTACAATGTGTAAAGATCCGATTTCTTGGTGTGAAAGTCCGACCTTCAAGGCATTACTATTTTAATGATTACAAACACTCATATGTGTTCATGAACATATCGCGTGGTCCAAATATTAAATGTCATACAGATTAGGAAAAACCTGATTAGAAACTTCTGTAACATATTGACGTAGATTTGGACAAAGACTTCTTCTAGCACAGCCAAGAACGTACATCGATATTTGGATTACTATACAAAGGCGAGTGTGTTGGTATTGCAAATGTGAATATGTGCACAATATTGACACATGATTATATATTTGCTGGGATACATACCTACAGTATTTAAGTATGCATTCACAACTATGCATGTTGCATTCACAACTATACATTAAACACACAGACAAATTATAAGAATACTTTACCAGGGAGTCATATTAAAGGGTGCAAGTGAGATTACAATATCGACATATAAATAAGGCACTTTTACCCAACTGACGTACGAGATCGGGTGTTCAAGCTAGCCGACTTGTTAATGCCACCTAATCCAAAATGTTCATGATGTCAGTCACTGGATGGTCTGGTCATGGTTTGATTATTTACAGACCGACGTCATACAGCGCAAATATGTTTATGTGCAGCGTTAAACAATAAACAATCGTTGGCTGCAAAGACATGCGTTTATACAGTTAAAGAAGCTTTTAAATGCACGGGTATTCAATTCCAGATACACTCCAGTTCGTCACTACCGGCAAAATAGATTTACGTGTAATGTGTTGCCTTTTTCCCTATTCATTGCACTTTTTCCGTAGCCTTTGCCAGGGATGTATATTTGAGAACGTACAAACAGAGTCTTGACGTATCTTCCTGGTTGACCCCTGGACGATGAACAAACATCTTCATTTTGACCTTTCCGCAATTTATACAGGTAGGCACAAGTACATACCATAATACCTGACATAAGGAGTGAGCGAGTGAGTTTAGTTTTATGCCGCACTCACCAATATTCCAGCTATATGGCGGACCTGACATAAGGAAGTGAAATAAAGTATCATCGGGTTTCTATTCAAAAAGAAGAGAACAGTAGGGGTGACTATTGAGGTCTAAGGAACTATTGCGATATCGAGAGACTATTGCATGCTACTATTGCGATGACGATAGTCTATTGCAAGCTACTACTGCGATAACTATTGCGATAGTTCAGACAAAATTCAAATTTAAGATAAATTGCCATTTTCTACCAACTTCTTTTACATTAAACTACTTAAAGCATAAAATGTGTTCAGTTGTTTATTCCTTATAACTTTCAGGTCAGTATTGGTCAAGTTGTCATGATGACTTCTTCATAAACATGACTTAGTATTAAAACATTCCACAACAAGGCAACGCATTCACAGAGGATTTAATACTATTTAATACAAAACTGTGGTTTGCAGACTCTTTGATCCCCACAACTTTGTATGTAAAATAACATACAAAATAAAGAATAAATACTGGCTCTGTGGCTCTGTCACAGTTTTGACAAATGGTCACCTTTCAGTTTCAATAGAAAACACTTACTGTGTGTAAAGGTTGAAAATTAAACAGTTCACAGGTAGATATGTTTTAGTTTTAACAACATGAAGATGAAAAAATATATCACTGAACAGTCAACAGATTTAAAGAAGACAATAATCTTTTGTCACTATGAAAGTATCAAGAAATCTTACAAATAAACATGTCAGCAGATAACTTGGTGACTCAAGGTGAAAAATAGGTTAACATAATTGGCAAATGGCAATATTTCACTTTAACTCTGATTTTACTCAAATAGTGTGATGAAGGCAGATAATAATTCATTTTTTATCTTGGTTTCCAACTTTCCAATTCTTCTTTAGAAACAATAGTCTGTCCACATGTGCAGATGTACGAGTCTGCTAGTCCATCCAATAGTTGTGAGTAAAACATTCTCAGACCTCAGTTTTAACAGTCTCATGCAACATGGGCAAAGCAGATTATGAGAAATACTGTCGCGAGGGGATTGTGTAACTTGGTTCCAAAACTCTGAACATGTTTCTAAACCCGTCATTTTGGACAACACTGAATGGCCGCAAATCCTTAACAATAAATTCAAGAATGGCTGCCGAAATATCTCTTGCTCGTTTTGACGACGAAAGTAGAGTAGTTGTTCTCTATGCGTTGACCAGTCACATTACTTGCTATTGGATGAACCTGTGTGCACTGCCGGGGCACGATAACCTGCGAGGCGTATTAAGTAACCCGAGCGTTGCCGTACGGTATTGTCTACACGTGTTTGTATGTGGCTACATGACTCTGAGTGACGTTTTCAACAAGGATGTATATTACAGATGACATCACATGCTCTACGAACTTTCTGGTGGACGGACGCCAAATGGAGAAATGAATGTGTGTACGACGAACATGATCTATTGGACTTTTACTGTCTGTTTGTGCTGCATTCCTCTGGTGGTCCTCTGTGAAACTAAATGTCAGTATGATCAAGGTATGTACATGTTTGCTATGGCCCATCAAAATATGTGACACTGCTGAAATCTACCTGCGAAGTCTAAGCCAAAGTGTGGTACAACATGAATGATGTATATTTAAGTAAAGATAGGAAAAGTAATCGAACTGTACCACGTGTTTGTATTCACACCGAAGTGTGAGTCAGTTTAATTTAAGTCACGTGGGCAGTATTTCAGCTTTATTGTGACTTTATCAAGTTAAACAGTTGTAAAGTAATACAGTAGTCCGATAATTTAAAAAAAACTGCCATCGAAGGACAGAATAACATATCAACTAGCATTATATCACATATGTGATTTAAAACTAGTTATAGAACATTAAAACTGCCTGACTATTTGGCACGATGTATCAAAATGGGGCAAGCAACATAGGTGAGGACACTGGGGGGACTACGTGCACTTACAGTACCTCTGCTTCCTACATGGTTCCCCAGTCGGATTTACACATTTTACTAGGTACTGGCGATTGTAGTAGGTTTCGCCGGATTCTCAAAACAAACAATTATTCAGCACTCAAAATGCAGGTAGATATAATAACACTTTGAAAGACGTGGTCTTATATAATAGGGGTGCCTATTGAGAGGGAAACAACTATTGCGATAGAGATAGTCTATTGCAGCATCCTATTGCAATAGTGTCTTTCTCCCTGAATTGTCTTCAGTTGAAGTCATTTCCCAAATAAATGTATAGTTTACTAGTATATGAAATAAAGAAGTTGAAGTAGTTTCAGTCTTTTGAAATAACTGACAAGAAACTTGAAACCCGGATCAAGTACATAGTTAAAACAAAAACTCCATGAAGCTGCAAGTCTGTACCCAAACAATAAAAATCACTGATCAACATAAATATTTAATAAAACTAATCTGGTACTTCCTGTATTTCGCACTGTGCATTTATCAACGGATGTCAATTACTAAACAATCGATAGTCACACATATACTATCGATGCATCGATAGTTTTCCGTTTCTATCATCGATTAATTGCTATCGGGGTATCCACAATTGCCATCCATCGATAGTTCGATGCATCGTTACAGCCCTATTATATACCCTCTCGGGGGCAATAATTTTACAATGCTTCAACCCCAATTAAGAGCACAGCCACTAACAATCTCAGCTCATAATAATACCCTACCAATATATAAAAGAAGACATTTATATCAAAATTCATCTAAAAATTCTATTTCTTTTATGATAAATGATAACATTACTAACACGATCCCTTACTGTTATTCGCATTGACATATTTATCCCTTGTGATGAAAAACTCAACACATTCAAGCAAAACATGCCTCACTGTAAGCTCTTTCATCACAAGGGATACAAAACGGAGGATCCTCACCTCAGTAAATACTCGTGTGTCTCTCGCATGCATGGCCAATACGACATCATCGCATGATGACCTCTTCAAATCTCGACCGACATCCCAAGAAGGTGTAAGCGATAGTTTTCATCAGATCACGGATGCAATATCTTATTCTAGGCTTTTAAGCACTATATGTGATAAAGAGTTGTGTCGCAGATTTGATGAGAGTTGCTTCAGCAGCAGCAGTGTCAGCCTTTGTTGTTGCCAGTAATTCCAACACGACTGGGTACCCAACAAAAAGGGTATTGGTCAGTAGCTAGATCATTGTATAAGTCAAGTATTTCGATTAAAAGTGAATGTTGGCAAGAAATATTGTCGATGGCTTGAAGACAAGAGAGGGAATGAGAAAACAAATGAACTGTTTATGTTTAGACTGAGCATTTATATACTGAACAGCTGTTGGTATAGCTATTGATTCCACTGAGAACATTGGTAACCTGGATGATATGGTTTTGGATCCAATGACAGTAGCACTAGCGACTGCGTCACCATCCTTGGATCAGTCTGTGCATATAGATTTGTAAGTATTGTAATTGTTGCGTAACTGAAGATGTTATAGCTGGTACTTAAGTTCATTTGTGTCTGATTTCTTTAGTTTGGCTAACGAAAGATCCACCTTCTCCTTTACCATTTACCATGAAGGAAATGACTGTATCTGAGTAGAAAAAAAATGTTCTTTGGGTTAAATTTAAATACAGAAATTTCAGGTTTACTCTTATTCCTGGAGGTGGAACAAGTGATATTTTTCTTACAATAGAGATCCTCGTAGAGTGGGTTAAAGACACATTCAAGAGCTGGAGTAGATGGATTAGAATTTTGTTTAGCCATGTATTGTAAGGACTTTTTATGCGCCACTCTTTTAGTGAGGGCTCACCAGCTTCCACAGAGAGACATCCATTCGCCTCACGTCTTGATGATGGATTGTATCCAGTAATCATAAATACCATAGACGATGGAGTCTATAAAAACTGGCATACTTAACATCTTTCATGCCGTCCAAACATAATTCGGCGTATTTATGCTAATATTTTCTACAAAAATTGGATACTGTTTGTTTTAGATTGTGAAAATTTGAGTCCATTTTCAACAGACCATTTTTGGATTTTATTTAGGCAAAGCTGAAGCTGCCTTTCAATAGTGTTCATACATATGTGTTTGCGACGACAAGAAACATTAGTCATCTACATAAAACCGATCCATCTTTATGCTAAAGATTGTGACAGACAAAATAGGATGGCTGCTCTGATGCTTATGTAGTGAGAGGAGGGACACCTACATGCTACTTGGCTGTGTGGAATTGACTGTTCACTTCTGCTTCCATTCAAGATTTTTAGAATTCTCACACCAAAGCACTCTGAGTGTCATTCCTTGGGCCCGCCATTAACGTATTATTGAAGCCGTTGTTTGTTATCATCATACCCGTATGTTTACCTTAAGCAGTACGTTGTTGTCACCTGAATCACTTCGGGTTTTCCTCCCACATAATGTAAATACGCTGACAGTGTGATATAACTGGCAAACCCGACAAAGCGGAGTGAAACCCAACTGTGTTTGCAGAATCCATTTTTACGAAAAAGGTCCAACTCGTATTTCATGCGTGATCACAGGGTGTTAGTATGGTATAAGTATCTCTTCTATCTGAGCCAAGTCGCTCATACCTGTACGGATATCCACCTGAGTATTACCTTACACATCTTCACGTGCTTATAAATCCCAGTCTGTCAACACGTGTGTCAAATTGCTTACATGTAACTTCGCGACTGAAAAGTAAAGTATAGTAATATTTGACATGCAAAGTTTACGAGGGGTAAGATTTATCATTTACCACTTGTGTTTTATTTGATACAGCAGTGATGTTCATAGATTCTGAGCCTCTGTTGCAAATCATCTTTAGTAGATATAAAAGACAACGTTACCTAAGTCAGTTCAGCTATTGTTTGCTGTAGATCGTGACCTTCGGACATGGACAAACCTGAAGAGAGTGCATTGCTATAACGCCATTTTAACTACCCCATTAACGTCAATTTTCAACCCATCAAATATAATTTAATGTTAACTCTTACTGCATTCAGGTTGTATACTGTTGCAGGTACAGCAAACATCAGTAAGGCATGCTATGGATCCGACGGCCTTCCCTGTGTTGTTCACTCCATCAGCTGCAACACTTCCCATAAGATTTCCATCTGTGATGCTTACTACACAAACAATACAGAGTGTGGATCAGGTGTCGCAAATTGCAAGAATGTAAGTCTGGACAATGTGACAGAACATGGACATCAGAGGTTCAAGTTCAACAAGGCGGAGTTGGTCTCCCTCTCCAACAGGTGCTCTACAAAGCCTGAGTGTTGGTATCGAGCTCCCAGGCGAAATGCAGCCCTTACATTCTCCGTTGTCAAATATCAGTGTGTTGAAGGTATGTACGTTTTGGTAGAAGTTGGGAATTATATTTTCCCATCTGGTTTCAAAGAGAAGCCTTATACAATAAATAATCCGATAGTGGTTTAAGTACACACCACATGTTTGTTTTATGTGATTTACGTGGAATATTTGCAAAAGGTAACAGTGTCAGTTTCTCACACCATATCTTACCTCAAGGTCATGCAGTCAAATGTCACAGAGATCCGAAAATAAAAGTAATTAACGCGTCTTGTACTTCATGTGCATAATATATTATCTGAAATGGACTCGACTCTGTCATCAAAACCCTCGGCCTAATAATGAATACTCAAAACCGCAACCAACCCAGCTAACCTAATGACTACATAGCAGATGGGTTTTTTTGTGTGTAAACATACCCTTTTTATACTATTAATTGACAAACACACTGACGAATACATGGCTTTAACAGTGCATTATCAGACAGCGTGTGCTAGCCGCGGGAATCATTGATATTTTATCAAGAGGGAGGTAGTTTGAATTTGAATAGGCATGTCTTCAAAAACAATCGAAACTATTACAGAATATTTAAATATCAATAATGTGAGCTGATTCGTTTCAATGTGTGTGACTCTATATTGACGTTAAAACAATGTAGTTCACGTTAAAGATAATAACGGGGAAAAACCAGCAACGTTACCTGAAAGATTACCGATGAAAGTTTGGCAACTGACTAGTACATGTCCACACTATTTATCACATTACGAATCTAACGGAAAATAACGCTCGTCTCCATTTACATGATGGTAGTAAAATACAAAACCTATTACCCATATTGTGAGTGATGACCCAGTCGATCGTAGTACGGTTATTCTTTGAGCATTTCCACATTAATGGTTCACAGGAAATTTATTTGACAGTTATAACGTGTTTAGAATATTGTTGAAATGATGCTTCCAGAAAGTTCAGGCATAAATCTTAGTTTTGACCGTTAATTTTATATCTTTGAAATGCTTTGTGGAAAGTCCCCTCCGCATTTCCAGTTATTCTATCTAATTTTAAAATCATATATGAGTGTTAAATTATATGTTCGGTATGCATTTCAGCAAGTACGTTCGCAACAGGGATAATAGGCGATGCTACAGTAAGTGGCTGTTTCAAGTACTAAAAGATGCTGGAATAACAAGATTTGCGTATCCCTTTTGACTTTGTAACCATTTTGATGACTACAAGCTACGGTTCTTGCAGGCGATGCAGAGCAACAATTCAGAGGCAATAATGCATTGCAACTTGCATTGTTAGCCAATAAACCTGAAGCTTATTTAAGTCTCCATGCAAAGTTATACAGAAATCAGATATCAGTTTTGGCACATGTGGGATAGTGGGTTTTTTTGCCATTGACGCTTCATACAATGGTAGAGACATCACTCGAATCTGTTGATAACGGTTTTATATAATGTCACACAATGTCAAATTTGTTGATTTTGGAATCAGCAGAATCTTATGATGACTCAACTACGGACCAATTCGGACTGAATCGGAAGAACAGGAGTTGGTTGCAGTTGGTTTTCGCTTAATAAATGTTCATGTCAACATAGCTACTATCACTTACTGTACACCAACATTTTGGGGAAAGTGGATGTTGGAGCTTGTGTAAATACATTGGCAGTATTACATTTTATCTCTCTTCATGAAACATATGTGAACTTATTATGCTAAATTATTAAGGACCGGATGAACCTGATGGGAATGGTACAGATGTCGGCGCAGCTGTTGGTGGAGTTGCAGCCTCTGTCCTTGCTGTGGGGATCATAGTAATAGTCGCAATGTGGTATCTGCGAAAAAGGTAAGGATTACAGAAAAATACAAGAGTAAGTACTTCTGATTAATTGCATTTAGCAGTGGTTCGATGTAGAGACTTGCACCGTTATCAAGTTTGAGTGACTACAACAAAATATATGGGATATTTTACGTTGTCTATTGCAATGATCAGCAGACACATATTGCCAGACTGATCATAAGAGCTATGACCATCTTCCCCAGTAACCACTGCTTTGACATAATCTGAATCAACTGCAGCATGACCAACTTAAACCAGAATGTTTCTTGTCAGGACAACGTCCAAATCCTCACCACCAAACCACAGGGTCCCACAAGCATTACTAAAGTTACGAGATGTAGTAAATCTATAGTTCACCATAGGCATATGAATGCCCTAGCCCTACGACCGCTTTGTGTATTGGGACCGAGGACTAAACAAAAGAAAAACTCACAGAACCCGTTAACGTGTGGTTTCACAAACACCGGATGAACAGACAACAAGAGTATTACCAACTCTTTTTTTAAATAGTATCTAAACAGCTTGTTACAGTTTATACTGGCTTAATACACATTTTGCTGCTTCTAGGCTATTCTCTGAAATGCAGTAAAACGACTCTGAGACTCTGTAACTGTGTGTGCTACTCAAAACTTCTAGAATACCAAACAATTGATCAGAACCATGGGTATTATTAATTTTTCGGTGATAGCTAAGATTAAAAGATTCCAGAGGCTTTTACGCGAATTTACATAATCATCCTCCAAGTTCCATCGTACAAGAATAGCCAAAGATAACAATTTAACGGCCATTTTCTGAAAAGTAATCACGAACGTTATGAGCAACAGATGCTTCCTATAGGAAATAACGTTATCGACCAATTACTTTGCTGCAGTCGATTTTACGTTTTATGCAAAATTCAATTTACATATATGACGATTAGACATGATAATAACTGTATGTGCCACATTATTTTGTTTGCATATTCCATTTCTGATTGGCCTGATGTTTCTCCCTTCAGGAGAGACAATAGGGATGAGAAATCAGCCAGACATCACGATCACGAAACTCAAAGAAAAGCCCATGATATCTCACAGAGCCATTACCAGGAGATGGATGACTCACAGATACGCGGACGTTCGAATGATTATGACTATGCTACTGCTGATGGTATGGCGGCTTCACCAAATACACACTCTTATTTCACAATCGAACCAATCACTGCACCAAATGTACAACACAATCCTGCTACTTCATCCAAGGAAGACGATTATGATTACATCGGAGACAAACCATCTGCCATCAGCAGCAACTACGATACCACGGCTTCGGTTGCCCAGTCACTAGGAACTCGGGCACATTCTCGAGATGATGACTACGGCTACAATCGCCTCCAGGAAGCACCATGCACCAAAACAGTCCAGAATGATTATGACACTACAGCTACCGCAGGCAGCACAGCTGGGAAGGAATGATGACAGGACGCCAGGCTCGCCTAATGATACTGCGGGGAAAATGGGAGATGGCTCTGGTGACTATGCGGTTGCCGGACCAATGCGATGACCGCATATTTAACAAACGTTTGTCATTTTGCTTTGTCAGCTGCTTCTACGTACGACCTACGTCTGTTCTGAGGAAAGTTATAACTGATAAATGTATCTCCTTTTCGAAACATGCAGTCTTGTTTTGCTTTTTTTCTAAAATGGAGAGAAATGTTTGTACTTTACTTTCCACTAAATATACTGTACAATTAATTTAATATTTTATTTTATAACAGTGATGATTAGTTATTTTGAATGAATTAATGCATTAATGAATGAGCGGATGAATCAATGAATGAGCCGCTAGCAATTGCATACATTACTAATGAATTATACATATGGTCTGAAACTATTTTTGTATATTATAGCATATTTTTCCTAAAGTTTAACTACATAACTTTATTTTGTATTTGTAAATAGTTTAATTGTCACCTCATGGTTGTTATAAATTGTGTGTGTGTCTGTCTGTCTGTTTCTAATTTTTTGTCAAAAGGCAGTGCCTTGGGCAGCATTGAGAGGTTAATATGTTATGAGGGAGCATAAGATAAAACTGCATTCAGTTTTGGGCATCAACTGCATCAATTTATGCCAACCGTTCCAGTCACGTTTTCCTTACTGACATAGATATCTAAATTTCATCTGAAATCACGAATATCCGGAACAAGCCAGCCAATACTAGTAACAACATGTTTGATTTACCACTATCGTATACGATACACGGCACAAGTCGTGTTTTACCAGGGACAATATAATAGAGATTATATGATCTGTGGTCTTTCAAAGTGAGAAGGGGGAAGTTGTGAGACTGTACATGGGACTCGTGACTGGCATCTATGCATGATTCATTGTTGTTACAGTTACCGAACAGATAAGACGGGCATGCTTGCCGCAACAGGATGTGTGGTATGGCGGTAATCAGGTGTGTGGATGTGGGTTCATGTATATGATGGTATTTATCTGAATATCATCCAGGTAAAAACTGACGTTTATATCATTCTGGCTAGGCGACTAGGACACAGAGAGAGAGAGAGAGAGAGAATTGATGAAGAAGACACAGCGGTTGCTGTTGTTGAAGGGGCTGCGAAACGTAAAACAGTAGAGTATTAACAAAACGTTTAAGACGTTAATGGGGTGCATAACATGGATTTGACGGAGTGTTACATTGTTACATATACGTTTGCCTTTACACAACTTAGGTCTTCATTGAGCAAAGCTGTACTAACGCACAATAGGTCACATGGATGATAATTGGCACTTCGTTCTACAGGCATTTCTGTAGTATAAACAGATCATGCTCCAATACCGTATTGATTTATCAGTGTAGTTATGTTTGTTTGTTTGTTTGTTTAGCGCCACTCTCAACAATGTTCGAGCTATATGGCGGCAATATAAGAGAAATGAAGCAGATTCCTGTAGATTGATGATATAAGTATTACCACGGTCATCGATACCGCCGTTAGGAAATGCTATTTTTGTAAGTGGATGTCAATCAATACTGCCTTTAGGTTTTATATTTAGAAGGGGGTTTGCACTGCAGTATTTATTTTAGGATGTCTATTGACTATTTGGAGAATTTAGTGTTTGTGCTATCCTCTCATTTCCCTTTGTTCCTTTCATTTGACTATCAGTTTACCACTCAGAACTATTCGTCGAATCATATCTTGTACATCCACTTATGTTTTCTGTGCAACTAAGAATTAACTACAATAGAACTAAACAACCATTTAGCGTTGCCCTATAGATGTGTTGCGTATGTTGACCTGAACAAAATGTCAGAGTGAGTAAGTGAGTGAGTGAGTTGAGATTTAAAGTCACGTAGTGACTAAATCAAGTAATGGATTAATAATAATTAAAAGTAAATAATAAACAACTGTTAAAGAAAGACAGTAAAACAACTAGACTATCACAGATATAAATTATAAACTAGTAAATAAATCTAAAACGTTTTAACTATAGAAGACAATACAATATAAAAAGAGACTGTAGATCGCCAACAACTGAAGGTAGATCACCATACTAGGGACCATTGGGACAGTACCTTTACGACCTGGGTGGTGGACCCTAGCTGGATTTACACCATCCCAACAGCCGCGGGCGATTGTAGGAAAATTTACCCAAAATAAACCTCACAAACATACTACGTTTGATATATCCTGGTAAGTTGAAATTTACTTTGAATGTATTGGGACTTACGTACCGCTACACGATGACAATAATTGTATAAAACTCAAAACCCCTATGAAGATAAAGCCACTAACCATCTAAGTGGCTAACTACCCATAATAAAATATGTATCTATATACATATTATGAACCAAATTTATCAATAAATTCTATTTCTTTTCAAAATGACAATTAACATAGATTGCTAAAAAGATCCTGCATTGTTTTGGTACTGAAATATGTATCCCTTGTGATGGAAAAATCAATAAGTCAAGCAATATGTCAGACGAAGAAGCATATGGACTAAACACTTACGTTTACAAATACCGCACGACAGCGGACAGAATTCCACGGATATGTCAGGGTCTGAACAAGCCGCTCCAATAGCTCTGTGACAAGGGAACAGAGACTGGTCACGGCATGAGGACGGCGGAGCAAACGTCAACGTTGCTGAAGTACCTACGACGCTGATGGTTGTCGGTGAAGTTGTAAGGAGTTGCTTTATGCCAAGACAATTGTGATCGTCGCAACAAAATACACACTCTGTGTGCCCTTTGTCTTGAGTGCAGTCTGATGGATACAGATTGGGTGGATGAATGCACTATAACATAGAGAGAACACATGGATGCTGAGAAAATAGACGCTACAAAACCCTTTCCACATCAATAAGAAATGTTTGCTAAAAACAGAGTGAATTGTACAATTTTGACTACATCATGAGTATATATTTGTTTCAGCAGTATTACAGCTGTTCGATGTTGTTTGTAAACCAATCGAGTCTGGTCTAGACAATCAAGTGATTGTCACCATGCGATATCACACATCATGTGTTTATGAATCACTATGAAATAGTGATGACACCAGGTGATAGCAAAAAGGTGAGCGTATCGTGCCAGGTAGGTGGCACCCGTCATAAACATATGATGAGTCTACTCAGTCGTTGGCCTGAAATAATTTGCTGTAAGTCAAAAGAGGGAATTGCATCGGACCTCATTCTTGTTACTGATGCATCACATTTAGAAATTTCCTCCATATGTCTATCATAAAACTTGAACGTTGTAACCTTGATCAAACAACTTCCGAGCAAAAGTGGTATGACGCTCTTTGAAATCCTGATAAAAAGAGCACATTATAACCCAACTAAACTGAATAATCCATTGGAGTGCATACCCAATTATCCTTTATAACTACACCTATCTAAACATACATCATCAACAATCCATAGGCATCCATACTGTAAAAAAACAACAACCAAGAACACGTTTTCCTGTACACAAAATACTTACCGACGAGTTGTGTTCCCATCGGTGTTCTTAATTTCACATGTCTGAAGGGAAAGTATTATATTTGTATATCACTAAAGCCTAAAACAAACAAATTCGTTTCTTTTTAAATTACTGTAAAATTTTACTACCACACCTCATCAGACAATTAAGGAAGTATCGATAAATGTAAGTAAGAAGTTTCTTTAAAATGTACTCACTTTGTGGTGAGATTTACAGGGTATGATATTGTCCAAGCATCTTTGAGGGTCGGGGGCGGTGGGGTAGCCTAGTGGTTAAAGCGTTGGCTCGTCACGCCGAAGACCCGGGTTCGATTCCCCACATGGGCACAATGTGTGAAGCCCATTTCTGGTGTCCCCCGCCGTGATGTAGCTGGAATATTGCTAAAAGCGGCGTAAAACCAAACTCAGTCAGTCAGTCAGTCTTTGAGGGTCGTGTTCGTTATCACAAACTGGGCAATGGATCACACCAGGCACCGTATCTAACCCTGAAAAAAATTGCACATTGGATGAGGATGACAATACATGTATGTAAATGGCGACAATGGCATGTCAGGATGAAAGACTAGTTTTAGTGTTTTCACAAGAGGAATATGTACATATACACTTATCGATTTGCAAGGGATAGTCCCAGTGACCCCAAATAGCTTGGGGATGTTCTTGCGTATATTATCAAATTAATTGTATAAGTTTCAAACAAACACATTAAAAATTGAGACGTAAGAACAACTATGAACATCTGCTATCGATGTCCCATAGCACATTGATGAGAAATCAAGTATATTAGTTATGTGTAATATAGAGTCTCACTTAGGAGAATATCCATCACTTATTATTATCATACACATATGGGTTGTCCTTGACTATTTTGGGGGCGGTGGGGTAGTCTGTTGGTTAAGGCGTTCGCTCGTCATGCCGAACACCAGGGTTCGATTCACCACATGAGTACAATGTGTGAAGCCCATGGCTGGTGTCCCCTGTCGTGATATTGCTAAAAAGAAGCGTAAAAATAAATTCACTCATCCACTCCTTGATGAGCTGGACCATGAAATCTTCTTACCGTGTTGTATGTGTGTCATCCTGGACTGGCAGATGTCCCCAGTACAGCACACCGTGCACCTGTCCCTGGGTCCAAATGGGTGTGTCCCTCTACAGTCAGTCGTGTCTTGCAGGTCATCATAATCGCATCTCTATATTCATATGACATATTTTCACATAAGGGGGGATTTTATATGCTACATAGACCGTGGTATAAGTTTTACATTCTACCATGGCTACGTGAAATGCTCGAATTTGATTGGTCAAGCCATAAAATCAGACGGTATCAATTTGGATTGAAAATGCGTCGGATTTCACGGCGCTTCACTGCGCACGTATACAACACTGCCGCACTACTTCAGCTTGGCCACCAACATGACTAATATCAACACAACAGACGTGATGGAAATGCTGATGAAACATTTATTAAACCGCGAAAAATACAATTATACGATTTCTCCTCCACAATTATTAGGGGACCTCACTATCATAATTATTACCTTCTATTATAAAAATATTCAAAAACAATTACAATACACAACCCCAAACATAAACAAACAATATCTAACATATAGATCAGAAAACCTTGTAAAAATACATCCCTATCTATCCCTATTTGTGCGGCAAAACGTTCGTAAACATTTACCTACCTGGTAAATGGTATATTTGTTTCCGTTTAGAATGGGAAATTCGCAAGATAACGGTCAAGTGAAACACAAAATTCGCCACTCATACTCCATCATGTCCCGTTGCATTGTTCAAAATGTCAAAAACTGAACCATGAAAATTCAGTTCTCTGCCACCTTCCCCGAAGGCTGTCACTGTTATGTTCGTACACTTTGAAAAGCTTGGCCACAATCCAGTCCCAAATGATGAGAACAATGTTCAAAGGAATCCCAAGTTAGTCGCATGTACACAAAGCTGCACTGTCACTCTTCCTCGCATGCCGG